AGGCAGTGTGAATTTTTCCAAGCCTTCCCTTCTGCTTAGCAAGATTCATCAGCTTGCTGTCGATAAGAGCAAAAGTAAAAGGTCATGATTTTTCACTGTCAGCCAATTAGTGGGTGACTCAGTACAACAAGATCGGGCGCACCGCACAGGGCTCTGGTCTTCGCATGTGGCTTCCCAAGTCCAAGCTGGAAGACAACCGCACTTCCAGAAGCAGGTCCTCTGAGTCTTTTTTTTTTTTGGTTTTTCGAGACAGGGTTTCTCTGTGTAGCTTTGCGCCTTTCCTGGAGCTCACTTGGTAGCCCAGGCTGGCCTTGAACTCACAGAGATCCGCCTGGCTCTGCCTCCCGAGTGCTGGGATTAAAGGCGTGCGCCACCAACGCCCGGCTTAGGTCCTCTGAGTCTTAATGTCCTTGAGTTCTACAGTCATTCGGTCATCAAAGGGGGGGACACAAAGTAAGACAGATGACAAAGACAGAAGAGGAAAAATAGATTGGAATCCACCCATGGATCCAACCAAGGACCTGCCATCTCTCTTCATCTTTTGAGCACAATTCCTTGGCACAAGTTTGCAACTTAGACCACAGTGTTCTGTACACCATGGTGCTTTAAGCCATCTTTAAAAGAGAGCCAGGAAGTTCATACAACAACCCAACCAAGCAAGTCTTGAGGAAGATGTGTTAGTGTATGCAGGTGTGTGTACAAGCTTACGTGTATGTATAGATATTCACACACACACTTGTATGTGTGTGTATGTGAGTGTGTGTGTGTGTGTGTGTGTGAGTGTGTGTGGGGGGTGTGTGGGTGTGGGTGTGGGTGTAGGCCCAAGGATAACTTCAGATGTTGCTCCTCAGATGCCATGGACTTTGGGGTCTCATCTGAAACCTAGAGTGTGTATATTAGGCTACACTGGTTAGCCGGCAAACTCCAGATCTGCCTGTCTCTCTTCCCCATTTCCAGGGTGGCAAGCGTACACTGCCACACCCAGCTATTACAAGGGTGCAGAAAATCAAGCTTCACTGACGGAGCCATCCTCCCCAGCTCCCTGTGTGACTGCAACTGTCTTCTGACCTCCACCAGGCAGAGCTCATGTCAGGGGGTGGGGTAGGGGGGTGTACTTATCAGAAAGAAGAGATTTTTCTAAGTGGGGAGACCTCTGAGTGCATGGTATCTAGAGTCTCGTTAGCATGGAAAGCTTATAAAGCAGCTGGCAGAACCTTCTAGATCACCTATAGCCACGGGACCTGACAAGCTTGGAGAGAAGCAAGAAAACCATGTTACCTCTGCCAGCTGTGAGAAAAAAGCAAATCCATTCATTACCCAGTGGATTAGGAAAGAAAGCTCTCAGGCTGGAAGGATGGTCCAGTGGGTAAAGACACTTGCCACCCAAGGATGCAAGTCTTCTGGCCGGAAGTTGATTCCCCGGAAGCTATATAAAAGTGGAAGCGGAGAACCACCTTACCAAGTTGTCTTCTGACTTCTACATGTGTGCTGTGGCAGGCCCTCTGACCCCACAATAATAAATACAATAAATAAATCAACAAAAATAAACATTTAGAAGAAAATAAAATTCCTGGTTGATAATAGGTTCTACAGTGTATCCAAGAAAGATGAACGCCAAATGGTATGCTTAGAAAACAGTGAGGGGACCCTTGTGCATCCTCACATCGGCCTCTGAGATAGTCATATGAATCAAGTTTAAAACCCCTGACATCTATCTTCAAGTCCCATTAATGAGACAGAGGTGGGGGCCAGGGCAAGAGGGAGAGAGATTGGCTTTTAAAGTAAATGTAGGTGCTGAGTGTTTGAGAGGCCGAGGCTCCATCAAGAGCAATCTAGAAAAAAAATTGCCAGGATTCATGTTGGTTCAGCAAATAAAGTTGCCCCTAAAGAAGCTGACTCATGTTTATTCACAGCCCCCCGTATGGGGGCCTTGGGGACTGCAGCGGGCGGGCGAGCTGAGATAAGCATGCGGGGCCCGCTCATCGGGGCGATATCCCTGCTGTCGCCACCCGCTTCATTTATCCTCTTCCAAATGTTGATGGAGAATTGACGCCTCTGAGTGTCTGCCCTGCCATGGCTGACTGCCCCTCGTTGGAGAAATCAGGCTCATATCCACGGTTGCCTGGATCAAGGGCCCTCACTAGGCCCCCCTGGCCCCAGCGCCGAAGCTGGAGCAGCTGCTGCGGCTTTAACCCTCCCCACTCCCGCCTCCCGCTGCTGGGAACTGATTCAGCATGGCCGGACCCTCTTGGTTTCCCAGCAAAGACACGTGCCACAAATTGTGAGTCCATCTGGGCCTTCACCTCAAACAACAGTGTCACGAAACGGGAGTAACTATGGCTATCCCTCAGAAATGGGCCAGAGGAAGTGTTGACCCACAGTGGTGTTTATCAAGCATGAGACATGGCCTCCTAAGCAGAGTGAGGTCTGGACAGGCCTCCCTGATGTCCATCCCTCTTCCCCTGTCTCCAGCTGCTATTTCTATATCCTGGCTATGGTCCTCCCGGGATCACCACCCCCAGCCTCGCCTGTGTAAAGGCCTGTGGGAAAACTCGATGGTTTCAGGTTGGGGAGGACTCTGCTCCTGGCTAATTGCTGTCCCTAAAAGGAAATTGCCTGGTGCCTAGAACTAGAATGTATGGGAGAAGCCACCATGTGCCCTGGGGTGGGATCTGGGTCTTCAGGAGATTCTAGCATGTCTGCTATGGATTCCAGCATCAAGACATGTAAAGAAGTCTTTCCAGAGGTGATGGCAGTGTGGGGAGGAGCCCAGGGAAGCCGCAGAGACCACAGTCACAGCACTGTTAGGTCATGGGAAACCTCAAGTCTGTGGAGGAGCTGGGCGCAGAGATCAGCCTTCTTCCATCATCAACCACCTTCAGGTAGGTCGGGCCCCAAGAGCAGCCATGAACGTGTGAGTCAGGGGCCTCACAGAGTGGAGCTGAGGCCAGTTAACCTAGGCTCCAAGCCCTCTACTCAGACTTGGGCCTCCTTCAAACTCCCAATCCTGAGGGCATCTTTTTCTTTCTGTCCATCTGTCTTTTTTTTTTTCTTTATGTGTCTGTGCGGGGTTTGATTATGCATGTAGAGGCCAGTCTTCCTCAACCACTCTGCCTTTTCATTTTGTTTGTTTTTGGTGTGTGCATGTGTGAGGTGGGGGGAATGGATGGACACCAAAAAGTCAGAAGACAGACTGCCTGACTATGAAGCCCTGGCTGGTCTCGAACTTGCTACATAGACCAAGCTGGTCTCAAACTCTCAGCAACCTGCCTGCTTCTGCCTCTCAAGTGCTGGGATTAAAGGCACGCACCACCGTGCCTGTCTGTCCACCTTATCTTTTAAAACAGGGATCTCCCTGCTCCTAAAATTCACCAAGTGGCTAGGCTGACTCACAGAGATCCTCTTGTCCCTGCCTTGCCAGCTCTGGGATTACAAGGACATATATCACTTTGTGTGGCTAGGCCACGGTGCCGGGAATCCAGCTCAAGGCCTCATGCTCCCGGTATGTACTTTGCCGACTGAACCATCTCTCCAGCACCCACAGACCCTAAGGACACTTTATTAAAGCTAGTGTGGCTCACCAGAGCACTTACCAGCAGTCTGACCCCTCACAGTGCTCAAGATGACACGCTCAGGCAGGGCAGCTATCTGGGGAAAGCGAGAGACATTTTTGATTGTCACTCTCTGGAGACAGAGGTTAAAGGTCTTTGAGGCAGGTGAGCATGTACGTCATCAACCCATTTCACAGACCAGAGGGAAGTAAAAGGACGTGTTCAGGGACACATCTGAAGAGAGGCAGTCCAGGCTGGACTCTGACCCAGATTGCTGCTGGGTTCTGCCTGGAGGGTGCTCATCTTAGCAACCACGGCCTCTCTACTGGACCAGAGGAGGCCTGGAATGGCCACCTCAGACCCTCATAGGAAGGCTTCATGTGCAGCTGGCCGACTGAGGTTGGTTTTCTTGGTTTTCTGAAGCAACTGGTTGAATAAATCTTTAAAAGCCCGGGCAGGGGGCAATACTTCCCTCTGACACTGATATCAGGGAGTCTGTAGCAAACTCAGGAAAGGCTTTTTGCCCAACAAACCTCACATTCCTGGGGCATAAAAGAGCAACATCTGAATTTTCATTTATTTTTTAACATTTAACAATCCCCAAACCTAACTCCTAACCCTTCTGATGCAGCCAGTTCCTTCCTGCTCCCTTCCCCATGGAGTGCTGGAGCTGTCATGTCAGGGTCACCTTCAAGATGCACAGAAGGTACCCCAGAACTCGGGGAGGGGGGTGTCATTCAGGCTGTGCATCAGCCTGTTGCTCAAATGCAGATTCATGAGCCAGGCTGCCAAGGTCATGGTGGGCTTCCACCGTCAGAGTCTGTTTCACTTGCTCTCAACCTCACTAACATGAGTGGTTGTCTGTTAAATATCCTGCAGGAAGCCTTCCCAACAGCTGGGCTGCTGTCATGGTTTAATATCAGCCTGGAAGGAGAGAGAAATGGCCTCCGAGGCAAAGACCCCCAGCTGCCAGCTGCTGTGGCCTGATCCCAGACCCCAACCTAGAACTCTCCATCCATGAAACCCATTTAACAGGGCTAGAGTGCTTCATTTCAAAACTGGGGCTCAGGTCTGCAGTGACAGAGAAAAATTCTGAGTTTTCTGTTTTCCTGGGGGGCTTTTTGCTGTCTCGGTGGGGTAAACAGACAAACCTTAGTCATATCTAAGCAAAAGGAGAGCTCTGATCATCACCCACACAGGCTAGGTAAGAGGCCCCATTTTGTGTTCTCTTTTCAACGCTGAGAAAAACAACCTCAGAAGCTTGGAAAAAAAAAAAAAAAGGTCAGTTTGTTGCGCAGTAAAAATAAGAATCTAGTCTTTTCCATTAAAATGTCTGCAGCAAGCCGCTTGAGAAAGCGCACTACTGCCATCTAGAGATGCTGCAGTGGAAGGATTCGAATGTTCCAGAAACTTCCAGTCCCGTTTCCAAGGCAATCGCTCACAGCCTGCAGTGTTCTCATCTCCTGGTTTCCAGCGCTTGGCATCTGCTCCCCTCTGCATTCCCGAGAGACCCGGCTGACCCCCATCAAGTGGGAAAGCTGAGCAGGGCCAGGAGCTGGCGCCTGAGCTGAGCCAGCCGTCCTGTTCGCTCCCACCGCCCTGGGGCCTACCCTGGGGTGGGGGGCCCTGCAGCTCCTGTCTGCAAAGCCAGCAGAGTTAACTCGGTCACCCCTGCCCTGGCCTCTTTGAGCTCTCCAAATGTCACTTAGCAACAATTAGGTAATTAGGGGAGGTAGGTTTCCTGAAATTAGCCCAGGATTTGGGGGGTAAGGCACTGCGGGGGGCCAGGGGAGACGCACTGTTTACCAAAGCTGTCCCTCCTCACCGCTGTGTTCCTTCCAGCTAATCAACCACCCGGAACTCGTGCTGCAGCCGCTGCCTGCGAACTCTCAAAGGCTCCCGAGAGCCTCTCACCCCCCAGACCTGCCATGGCAGCCTCACTCAAAGGGCTCCGGTTTCAGCCGCCCCTCTGCCGGTTCTGCCTCCAGCATGTGTTTCCATTTACCGTGGGAGGAAGGGAAAGGACCCTGGCTGGGGGGAACTTCGCTCTTCATGCTTGGTCACCCTCACCCGTGGGGCACCCCAGCCTGGGCCCCCGGAGCCCACTCTGGAAATGCGTTGTTCCTCGAGGAAGGGTACCCACTCTCACCTTCCATAGGGAGACGGTGTTTTCTGGGTTAGGTACCCCAGAAGGAAGGGGTTGCTGTTTCACAGTTATTCATGTTTTGTTCTGAAGTACAACATTCCCGCGGCAGTAGGTCCCAACACATCCTCCGGGAAACATGGAGCAAAACCTAAAGATACTTCTGATGGTCACGGCAGGCCTGGCTTCTGCTCACTGTGTGTCCAAGACTCTAAGCACACCCCTCTGTGTCCAGAAGAGCCTCACTGAACACCCCAACCAGCCAGCCCCCGGGGTTGGGCACTAAGTGACCAGACCCGCGGATCGTGAGTGTGTACCAATGAAGTCTCACAAATAGACACACTGTGTTGGTCTCTTTAGGCCACTGTTTGGAGAACTACAAACGGAATGGCTTCAAACAACACAAATCCTTTATTTTGCCCCCAACACCATCCCCTTTTGGGAGGTCACAGTTCCCAGGAGCCGAGTGTCTGCGAGAGAGAGCTCCCCCTGGAGGTCGCAGGGGGAAAATCTTTGTTTTTGCCTTTTCCAGCCTCCATGTTGCTTCCCGCCTTGGCTCAGGGTCCGACCCTTCATCTTCAAAGCCAGAACCAGGCTGCGCCTGTGTAAATCACCACCTGGCTCTTGCTGACAATCTCATAAGAAACCTGCGACTTCGTCACACCTGCCAAGTCCTTGTCATGGAAGTCACAACTTCAAGGTTTGGGCTTGGTCTCTACCCCTGGGTCCATCCCAATTTTCCAACCCATGGTTAATTCTTCATTTTTAGAGTTATGATTTTTAAATCCCTCTTTACTAAAGGCTATATATAAACATTTGTACAGTTATGAAAAAATCCCAACACTGGATCCCCCAAAAGGAAGGGTGAGTGCAGGCCTGTGTGTATGAGTGTGCATTGTTCGTGTGTGTGTGTGTGTGTGTGTGTGTGTGTGTGTGTGTGTGTGTGTGGTGTACAAGTGCTTTTGAAGGTCAGAGGTCGCCATTAGATGTCTTCCTTCCCTGTTCACCTTATATTTTGAGACAGTCTCTTATTGAACTTGGAGCTCCACTAGGCTGGCTGGCCATTGAGCCCCAGGGATGTTCCTGTCCCCACCGCCTCAGACTAAGGCTGTCACGCTGAGTGCTGGGGTGTGGGACCAGGAAGACAGGGGACAAGTGAGCCTGATTGTGCAGTCCAGGGAAGGACAAAAGGTAAGCAGAGACAGGCGGTAAGCAAGGGCATTGAGCCATGTTTTGAAGAGCCCTGTATGCCTGGGAAGGAGTCCACATGGCCGGCCTTGCTGAGCTCTGACCTGTGTCCATCACTCTGGACCAAACATAACAGTGAACCAGGGAAGTGCTCTCACAGAGGAACCTGGGAACCTGGAAAGAGTGTGAACTGAGTTAGAAAGATAACCGGGAGGGAGGGCAGGGATCAAGGAGAGTGTTGGGCCCGGGAGGGATTTTATTCTGGGTAGTGAGTAAGGTTTCGTGGGATGTCATAACTGACTGTGCTAATCCAGACAAGAGCTTCCTGGAGAGGAGCAGAAGGCGCAGAAGTGAGCTGCCCGTCTCTGGGCCTCTTCTCCGAGGCTTGATTGGCTCTCTGTTGCTCTTGTAGTTTGGGTCCTGGAGATTGAACCTAGGGCTTCATGCATGCTAGGCCAGAGATGTACCACTGAACAACCTCCCAGGCTCTTCACTCTATTTTATTTGCTCACTAAATTGCCCTAACTGGATGTGAATTTACTCTGTGTCCCAAATAACTTGCAATGCTCCCGCCTCAGCCCTCTAACTCACTGGGTCACAGGCCAATGCTACCAGACCTGGCAAGACTTGAGTTTTTCTAAGAGCAGTTTTACATTTAGAAAAAAGTTGAGGAGTGGGTATAGTGTCGTGTCCCCCCCACACACACCCTCCCCATTTTCCTTGAGCTGACATTTTGTGTTTGCAAGGTCTTTGTTGCAGATGATGGCCAACATCAAGGCATCACTGTAGTGGAAGTCCATTGTTAATGTTAGGTCCAACTCTTGGTGTTCCATATTTCATAGGTTTTGACCTTTGTGTCATGCCATGCGTCACACAGAAGAAAGTCTGTGGGGAAATCAGTACTCCACCTGTCCCTCCCCATGGGTCCTCGGTAACTGCTGACCTGTTGACCCTCTCCCTAGCTTTAACTTGCTAGCGTGGTTTGGGGACAGAATCCTGTAGCTGTCCCTTTTTTCAGACTTTCTTCTTTCACTCAGAAAAATGTCTTGAGGTCCCCCCCACCCCCCCGCCCCGTGTCTTTCTGAAGCTTGCTGTGTCTGGAATTTCAAGGTGATCTGTTGGCAAGAGTGTGTGAAGTCAAGCATTTTTTTTCCTGCTTGTTGTGGTTTAAATATGTGCTGAGATACAAATTAAGGGAAGAAAGATTGATTTTAGCTCACCCTGTGAAGGGTCAGTCATGGCTCCAGGCAGCTCTGTGGCAGGGGGGGCAAGTGAAAGGAATCTCAGGGGGTCAGGAAAGGAATGTCCATGCCTTTCTTCTTTTTATTTGGTTTAGTACCCCAGTCCATCAGGTAGTGGTGCCAATAGTCAGGATAGGCCTCTGTCCTTCTCTAGAAAAGTCAGGCACACCCAAATATGTGTGTCACAAATGTCCTAGGTGTTTGCTATTACATCAGTGATCAACACTTTAAATTAACCATCACATCAAAGATGTTGGGATGTAAGATAAAGCCAAGAGGTGCCATGAAAGGCCACCAAAGGAACAACATGTTCGCCAACTTCTTGCATGGTCCATTCATCTGTTCCCCTCCTGCCACTAGACCGCGCACCCAGTTCTGCAAGGGTCAAAGTCAGTGGTCAAAGTCAGTATTGACTTTGGTGAGTGGTGACTGAGTAGCAGCTACTTCCCTGGAGAACCATGGCTACATGCCTTCATGTCGTAGGACTCGCATTCCTAAGAAATGCCTCCTGTGTGTGACTGAAGTCCCATGCTGGACAGCTCTGAGACCATGGGTCTGAAGATATTCCCTGGGGCTGGAACTCTTGCTACAAAGCACTGACTCTACACTTGGACCCCAAGATCATTAAAAATATATGGGAACCTGGCACCTCTGCCTTCGTTTAGTTATCTGTCTTCTTTACTTTGAATCAGACTCTGACCCTGCATGGGCATGTTAAGTCACTCAAGGAGTGTATATCTAACTCATTTCATTGCCCTTTGAGGCCAAATGCATACTGAGAAATAACTTACTGTACTAACCTGCCTGAAGTCACCTAGAACTAACCCCCACGATGAGAACGTTTACATACATTGGAGAAACTTCACCCTGCAGGAGATTCATCTTGCAGGCACAAGGGAGATAATGGAAATTAACATATTAACAGTTAATTGGCTTATCAACCGCCTTGACCAAGACTGATGAATGAATGGTGTACATCCCCTGTCCCCTGCTCCATCCTCCCTCTGTTTAGACTAAGTTCATATCAGTGCCCTGAAGGCAGCTTGGAAGGATTGGGTGTCACTGGACCCATCTGTTTGTTCCTCTTCCCAACACGTTTTCTTTCTACTTTCAACTATTACTCTTTGACATATTGGGACTGTGGCTGAGCCTAACATGTTGGGATGCCAAAGGTGGGGCTCTTCCCTAACAGTTCAACCGCGATGTGGACACAGTAAAGCGTCCTTGTCCCCATCTGGGACACCATCACTGTTTTGATCCGACTCTCCTGAACTTGACTTGCTTTTTTCCAGGTCCTTCACCCTGCTACATAAATGGTTGTGGGTAGAACCTCTTCAGATTAATCTAGCAGTCCATTTCATTGCTGTGGTTATATTCCAGAGGTTGGCTATATCGCCCCAGAGAGTCACAAAATTAAACATTTAAAGGGCAAAAGTTATCTGTGTCCAAGATGGGGCACCTTTGGCTGAAGGTTTAGGGACCTGCCTTGCCTTTCCCCTCTGAGTGCTGTGCAGTTGATGAAGAGGCCTAGAAGTTGCAGAGCCATGTCTAAGGCCCATGGTGGGATTCTTACCGCCCAGCCTTCTCCACACCGTTTCCCGGGGTTCAACCGCTTCCTCTCATTGGCTTTAGGTTTCAGAGGGGACTTACTTTGCCTTACAGCCCTGAGAACCCCTGGGGTTCCTGAAAGTGATTGGACTTAGACTGTTAAGCTTCCATCAGGGTCAAGATGCTTCCAGGACTGTGGAGAATTGTGAGACCAATGAGCAAACAGAGAAGAGTGTCGTGAATAGATGTAGAGGAGATGAAAAGATGAAGGAGGAGAAAGGATCCTGTTTCCTGGAGCCTCCAATAAGGACCTTCAAAGAGAGAAAGAAAGAAATGGACTCTGGAGATGGCTAGGGTCCCCCGCTGTGTCTTGGGTTGGGAAGTCACACAAATCTAAGCCTTCCTGGGGTGGGGTCCACGTGCTCAGGCACTGAATTAGCTAGCTTCTTTGCTTGTCACTCTCTGGTGGGACAGCCTTAGACATGGAGGCCGATTCCAGAAAGCTCACTGCTGTGGTACTTGCTGCCCTTTCTCTGGTCTGTGCAGACCACAGACAAAAGACCAGCAGAAAACGGGGAAGGGAAGGTGACCCAGGTCTGGCAGCAGAAAGGCCACGGTGGGAAGGAGAGCCTCCCATGGCCGCTGCGTGGATCCCAGAGTCTGTTTTTCCACCACTAAGCTACAGTTATTTTTGTGGTAAGTCCACTGGAGTCTGTCTGAGGGTCAACCCTCCTGTTTGAGCCACGTATTCAGGACCCTTGGAAGAAACTGCTGAGACCAGCACCGAGGAAGGGAGGTGTTCCTGGCTCCTCTGTACAGGCAGCCCCCACTACTTCGGAAGGCTGCAGAGGGAAACGCCCTGCATCTGCTGGGAGGCCTGGCGCTCTCCAGGAGGATTAGGCTTTGTTTAGTTTTCTTGGACCTGAGTAGAACTATGTAAAATGATGCTCACAAAAGGCTGGGAAAATGGCTGGGCTGCACAGCTGGCTGGGCCCCCTAATGAAATTAAAAATAAAAGAGAAACGATGGGAAATTATTGCAAGAAAATCTTCTCCCCATGGAGAAGGGGAGTGGGAGAAGAGAAAAAATAATTTATTGGCGGTTGGGGGAAAGTGCAGGATTTAATGAACTTACACTGTGCAAGAAAACTAAGAATCCCTGGCCAGCCATGTACTCTGTGTGCCCCAGGGAGGAGGCCGAGGGCTTAGCAGAGGGATGGGGATGCTAGCGACGTACGGAATGTCGCACATGCCCTCAGATGAAGCAGCTGGGACCATGGTGGAGGAAAGAGCTTCTTCCCAGAGTTTCTTGGGAAATGATCATAGCTTCTTCCTCTGTTTTGGCAAACAGGTCAACAGTACAAGGACCCTTGTCCACTGGCAGGAACAAAACACTGGAGACCATCACAAAGGTTGGTTGACTTGCTCAGTAGACCATGATGGGGGCCTGAGAGACCCCTCGGTACTGTGTGCATCATGACCTCTCGCTGCTCTTCTCTGGAAGTTGAAAATAGGGACAGTATCTGCTCAGTGGGGTGTCAAAGAAGTCTCTCCAATCCTCTCTCTTCTTACTATCTTCCATTGAATTGTTTACATTGAGAAAGTGGGGGAATGGAGCACTGTGCCCGTGCCTGGTGCCTGTAATTCTAGTACTCAGGAGGCCAAAGCACAAAGACCCAGAGCCTAGAGACCCTGTCTCAGAGCGCACACACACACACACACACACACACACACACACACACACACACACACAAAACATCCCTTGAGAAGCCAGAGAACTCAGCAGAAATGACTGTCTTTATGTGGGGCAGTTGCTACTATGTGGCTAAGTACTGTGTGTATTTTTTGATCCATCCACCCCATGCTTACCCCTCATTTAGGGTCCTGCCTCTCTTAGGTGTGCCCACCTGCCAGGACCCTGCAGGTAGGTATATTAATGCGTAGCCCCTGAGTCTTGGCCAGAAACAATGGGAAATCATCAAAAACAAACAAAAGAACAAACCTCAGGTTGAGTACTTGCCCAAGTTTTCAAAACAAAGACAAAAGTAGACTGAGAGAATGTTCTGGATACTTAGAAGGGAAGTTTTAGCTGTCAAAACTTGTTGGCTCACGTACATTCTGTTGCCATCAGGTCCCCCCACATTGGAATCTACATGGACCATCCCAGAGTCTTGAGTTCAGACCCAATATGTTTGAGTTCAGAGTTAAGTCCAGTCCATCTAACCTGCCTGGTCATGCCAAAAGTCTTTAAAAATATTCATGGAAATGTGAAGGCTCACCAAGAAATGCCTTTCCCAGTATAATGAGATACAAGAGCTCTTATTAGCTGTTCATATGAATGAAATAAACTGAAAGGCACACAGAACCACAAACTCTACAGCAGGAGTTGGCAAACTTCACCCACCCACCCACCCCCAGCCTGTTTTGTGTGGATAAAGTTTTCCTGTCATCTGCCCATGTCCATTTGCTCACAGGATTATGACAGCGACACTAAGCAGTTACAGCAGGGACTGTGGGGCCCACGGGGCCCCAAATGTTGACTAGCAGGTCTCTTGAGGAGCAAAACACCCATCTCTGTGCTTGGAGGCAGGATAGGAAGATGGAGACACTGCGGGGGTGTGAGAAGGGAGAGGAATCCCTTCACCTCAGAGTCCGTCTGAAGCCTCGCACCAGCTGGGAAGCAAGAATTCCAGTGATATTATCATTTGCTGTGAAGGCTGCCAACAGATAGCCTTCCTCTCATATGGAGATATTTTATGTGCAAACAGCAATGGCCTAAACTCAAGGCCTGAATGTATATGACCTTGTGCCTCATTCCTCCCCCGGACATATTCTGGGAATCTCGAACAAGACTGTTAACTTTGTTTATAGTGCAGATGGCCTGCTTCCCTGTGCCCTCTGATCTAGACTCTGACCTTATCAGTTTCAATCCTTGCTGGCCACCACCCTCAGGAACACCCTGTGATCTCATGAAGAGCTTTAGTCACCTTTGAAGATAACAGCTTCCAACTCACCAAACCCCTGTCCAAGAGTGTTGTAAAGATGCTGCAAGGGACTCTCAGAGGGACCCGCATCTGCTCCTAGGTAGGTCTTCCTTCCATTGAACCTTTCTTTCAACCATCATGACTTAAAATTTATATTGAAAACCTAACTCTGACCTGAGTTCGATTCTCAGCACCCACATTGAGTGGCTCATAATCTTACCTGTGACTCCAGGTTCAGGGGATCCAACACCAACTCCTCTGGACTACTTGGGCACCTTCACTCATGTGTGTATATAAAACACACACACACACAAAATTTTAAAATAATAATAATAAATCTTGAAAAAAAGAAAGAGAATTAACTTTGCTTCATACTGTCTCTCTCTGGAAAAAAAAATTTTTTGGTAGAAACCAAGGATTCAGTTTTACTTGAGTCAAGATTAAGGGACCTCCCCTAGGTTGCTGCAGGTGACAGCAGGGCTGTGTTTCTGTCCATGTCACCTCTGATACTACCCACCTAGGGAAAGATGACCGTGTGAAGGCTTTCTCTGAACAAGGGTCCAGAGATGGGAAATAGATCACACACGGAGGTCTTGATTCAAAAATTCTATTTCTTTGGCCAAAAAGATAATAATGATGCTTCTTGGAATCTTCTGAAGAACTATAAACAGTATCAGGTTCCAGTTGAGTCTGTTTTTCAACACCCACACTGTGTGGCTCACGACTACCTATAACTTCAGCTTCAGGGATCCCACACCCTTCTGGACTCCTTGGGCACCCCCACCCACGGGCACATGCTACATACAGACACACACACACATCACATAATTTTAAATTAATAAAAATAAATCTTGAGCGGGGTGTGGTGGCACACGCCATTAATCCCAGCACTTGGGAAGCAGAGGCAGGCTGATTCCTGTGAATTCAAGGCCAGACTGGTCTACAAAGTGAATTCCAGGACAGCTAGGGCTGTTACACAGAGAAACCTTGTCTCAGGGGGGGAAAAAATCTTGAAAAGAAAACCAACTTTGTCTCATACTGGCTCTCTCTAATTTTTTTATTTTCTGGGTAGAAACTAAGGACTCAGTTTTACATGAGGACACCCTTGGGATTTATTTTATTAATCTTTGAACTCAGTTGTGGGTTTAAAATGCTTTACATAGAAATTATTTCATACAAGAACAAAACAAGTTCTAGGAATGGGGTGAGTGATGCACACAGGAACTCTCCAATTGACACTTTCATTGCGTGTTTGAAATGATCCAGCTAAGCTCTCTCATGAACATTTTGTTTGCTGTTGCCTATTTTAGCCTAAATTATTTGAGGAAAGAACTTCAGTTTTAGGTTTTCTGATACTGTATTTTTTGAATTCCCTTCTGTATCTTTCTGAGAAGTTTCTAGGCACAGAAGAGTTCACCTAATCCAGGCACCAGCTTTCCATCAAGGCCCTGCTTTCTATATGTCAACACAGATGTGACCCGCAGTGGAGTCCAGGAACTCAGTCCAACTCTGCAACTAGAACTTCCAACATGTCAATAAGCCCTGCTCCAATTCCAGGAAAAATAACCAGCGTGGGTCTCAACATCACATGGACGATTTACATCCCTGAACTGGAATTTCGATTCGATCTTGGAGGCCGCTTTCAGAGGCCAAGACACACTATAGGAGGAGGGAGGGGCCGCTGAGGCCAAAAAGAAACTGGGATTAAAGTAACGCAAAGCAGATGCAGGAGCTCAGTGGCTGCCAACCCAAGCCAGGTGTGACTTTTGGGGGCCAGGTGACTTGGGGAGAGTATGCTCTGTCCTCGGGGTACCCTGAGAACTTGGGGGTAGTGGATAGATGGTGAATTTGAGGTTTGCGGTTGCTCGTCTCCAGCTTCTCCTGCCTCCGAAATTGAGTGTAGAATATGGACATGTCAGCAGGACGTGTCCCTTCTGCACCTGAATGAGGGATTATTTTCAAGATCCTGGGTAGCCAAGTGGGTGTCCTTTGAAAACAGACTTGTGGAATTTCCCAGACTTCTTGCAAATAATCTACGGCACTTTGTCAGGGTGGAAAAACCTGAATTTCTTCTACTCCGTCTGGAAAATATACACAGTACAGTCTTTGTGACTTGGCAGGGTGTGCCTGGCCACCATGACCCCTGCTCTTGGCAGGGCTCTGTAGCAATGAACTTGGTGACCTTGAGAGGTCAGATGCCTCAGGGGTCTCTGCGTGCTCATCTGTGGGTGGGGGGCTGTGGCAGGCTGGGGCTTGGGGAGGAGGTAGCCTTTGTCCTCAGATTTCCCGAAAGTCAGATGACCTTGGACGTGAAGTATGATTAGGCAGATGTGTCCATGTTGGCTGCCAGCTTCTGTGAGGCCTAGAGAGAGGAGACAGTGAGCAACTGGCTACAGAGGGGCAGGAAGGGCCTCTTTCCCTTGGCGGGCAAAACTGCAATCAGGGGGCCCTGATGAGGGCCTCTCCCAAGAATCTGCAGCTGTGGCGCTATTGATTCATGACGATCTGGCTCTGTGCAGCTGACTCTTCTCCCAGCCCAAAGTATCTATTCCCAGTTCTAATCTGCAAGAGGCCTCTCAGACCCCCATTTGCAAAGCCAACTCCTTAGTATGCACCTCTCCAGGGCAGCCGATTTCTCCAACAGTGTCCTCACTCAGGTGTACAGAGTGAACAGTGCCCTCTGTGTAGGGATGTGACAAAGATGCAGGGATATCAGGACCAAAGCTGAGGCGATGGCCAGTCTACCACAAGCACTCAACCCAGGATACTGGTTTTGTTTGTGACCGGGGTCTCAAACAGCCCAGGTGTGCCTCAAACTTGCTAAGTAGCAAAGGCTAACCTTGAACTTCTCATCCTCCTGCCTCCACCTCCCAAGTGGTAGGAGGACAATGCGGTGCCCCCAGTCTTCCAAGATTCCTGTTCTCCTCGACTGGGCAGTAGACTGTAGGCGGGTTCTCGGAAGAATCTGATGCCCGTCCTCACCCCGCCCCAGCCCTCCATCTGGAAGCCCCCATTGGTTCCTATTCACAGCTTCTCGGCTTCCTGTTGGGTTTGGCCAATGGCAGCCACCTGGTGGGAGGAAGGTGGGAGGGGAAATGGGGGCCAAGGTAGAAGATGAGGTGAGGGATGATATGGGAGTGTGGCTCATCTGCTGACTGTGCAGACACACTCAGCAGGAGCCAGGGGGAGAGTGAATCCCTCTTGGAGCCTTGACCTTGTCAACTGCACCTCTTCTCCTGAACATGCCCTGAGCTCTATCCACTAGCCCACAGGATCCTCTGGCTGATGCTGGGCTTCAATGCCTGTCCCTGGAGGCAAGGCCAGTCTAGAGGGACAGGTTGGAAAAGACTGCAGAGAACATGGAGGGACACAAAATCGGGGGTGAGGGTCTTCAGCTGAAACAGTCCAGGATGCCACAGGGCTGCTAACGGTGCTCCGGGTGGGCAGTCAGGAAGAGCTGCTCTGGGGGTGGGGCAGTACTGGGCCTGCGGAGGAGGGGACAATGGACACAAACATCCAGAAGTTGGGGGACAGCCCGTCACAGCAGACCTCAGGGAGAGAGAGAGAGAGAGAGAGAGAGAGAGAG